TAGGATAGATAAAAATTGAGGAGACTTCACGAGAGCTTTTCGAACACTTGTTTTTGTACCAAGCAAGTCAATTTATAGAGTTCAACCAAAATGGGGTAGGGGTGGTATCGCCACCCTCATCTCTTTTACCGAAGACACTTTGATGATAATAATAATAATAAGGTTCTAGGACCTTGCGCGAACAATTAATTAGAATTTATTAATTACAGTATGAACATGTAGTGTATCTGTATACATTCAAATTTTAGTGTGTCTTTAGTGCTGTTTCGGCGCTTTTTTTAGTATCGCTCTTTCGGTGGTATTTCAGCAACTTTCTAGAAAGCAATCGGTGCTGTATCCGTGTTCTTTGCGTACCAAATGCGATACTGTTTCAGTACTCCATTCATACACAATCGACGGTTTAGTCCGGCAAACGGACCTTTTCCGGTAAAAATTTAGAGAAATTTATGGAACTAGTTTGGTCGTAATTGGATAAAGTGAAACTGAAAAGAATAATTTTTACTCGAGGAAACTGCTTTCGTACGTTTGTTTGGATCACTTTGTTATAGAAGGTTTTGAGGAGGACTTAGAAAACGAATAATTAAAACTAGATAACAACAACATATATTTACAACTTAACAACAACTGGCGTAACGAAAAGAGAAAAGAAGAGACTTGTTCTGCTGAAGGCGTAAGACGAACTGCTTTGATATTTTATGAAAAATGAAAAACTGTTCTACAAGGAAGAAATAGAGAGGGTAGTAGATACGAGTAGGGAAGTATTAAAATATGGAAACTTTAAGATTAGAGATACCAAGAAATTGATGGCTGCTCAACCACCGAAGAAACCGATTGTAAAAATGTAAATAGGAAGAAATGAAAGGTACAGACGTCATGCAGTTAGTACACGAAAGGTGAAATGTTACAGGGATTATAGGAAAGTACAGTAATAGAGTTATTTAAATAGATAAACAAGATACAATAGATTATTTACAAAAGGAAGGAATTTTGATAGACACTAATCGAAAATAGAAAAGAAATATTTTAGAAAGGTATTTACAATATGTACACAAAATGAAAACAATTTTAAAACATGTGGTGGATATCGCCACACTGCTAATAAGAAAAAATGAATGTGACCAAAATAACATTCCACTTTTTCCGTTTAGTCGTGTATAAGCACTTACAACATACCTCTTCCGTAAATAAAAAGTTAGGTTCACCACCCAAAATAGCAAGCGAACAAACGAAGAGTGTGGCAATGTAACAAAAGAATAACAAATACCAACCACGGCACTGATCAAAACACACGTATCGAAAAAAAATGCGATAACGTTCAATTTAGCGCCAACAAAAATTCGATCAGCAATTCAAGAATTTCATATTATTGCTAACGCGTTCCCGTACTGTCTACTGAACTAAAAACTGTTATACATCGAACGCTTTGCGTATGAGTCACCGTGTTCGCGGTTCGCGAGGCATCATGCTGTGTTGACAGGTAAGTCTCGGCCAACTTTTCTTAGCGATTTAAGACAGAGAGAGAGAGAGAGAGAAGGTAACTTTAAACCTAGAACATCCTAATTATTATTAGAACGACCGCATTAAATTTAGATGATTATAAGTGGGCCGAACAAGGTTAATTGGGAATTGCTTGTAGGTACCAACGTCTTGATTTATTTTGTTTTTTTAAGAAGGTTAAAACAATAAAAATAGGTCAATCTATACATATTTTGCCATTCAGAACGTAAAACTCAATTTTGTTGCTTATTCTTTAGACTCTCGTGTTCGATATTCGAAGTAAGAAAATAAAAAAGAGAACGATAACAACAACAATAGCAGTAAAGTTTTCAATCGAACAGTAACTACGGAATGCAGTTGGCTTGTATACGTACCAGCTGCTGCGAAGATCACGAGTAGGTACCTGTGTTTCGTAACTTTCGATAACAAAGGGCGATAAAATAATCCGGCCGTTAATCTTCAAACCTTTCAAATATTTCGGAATACTGACCAGATATAGTGTACAATTACTGTAACATTAAGCAAAAGATTTAGTGTTATGTACTTACATCTGACGTTCGTAATTTATATACTTGGTGGATCCTAACAGCTGTCTCTAACTCTTTCCGAAAATCTAAGTAATATTTTCCCCTGTATATCTGTCCCTTAGGCTGTTTTTGCTATTAATAATATTAATCGCATCTTAGATGTACAGATTAAAAATCAGCAACGACAATGCACATCCTTGTCTAATACCTTAGAAAAAATGCCGACAAAGAAATACGTAATTTATTTGTATAATTTGGTGAACTCACGGATTTTAAATTTCGTCTATCTGAAAATATCACCCTGCTTTTCTAAAAACTGTCGTAATTAAACTGAACACGTCAAAACCTTTGAACAAATACCCCTCGAAGGCTTTAAATTGACTACATTGTATTTCTTATCATCAGAACTGTCCAATCATATTACTACCCTATTGGTACTCTACATTCATTCACCAACTATTAGCTCCTTCTTCACAATTTTTCTGAACACTTCTTTTTCACAACTTAGTTCGATTCGAATGTCTCTCTCTTGAAGTTCCATTTCGTTCGTTCCTAAAGTTTAAGTTAAGTTCATATTGAAAATATCAAGCAACAAAACTATATATTCGCATCCCATGGACCATATCATTAAACGTGGAAAACAATGTCGATAATTTTTGGTTTATCCATTTCCCAGGAGTTTAAAATTTTTTGAGCTCTCTTCAGTTAAAGAATTAGAAGGCATTCATGGAATGTCTGTTTGACCCCTTCTTATGCTTCTAACACCTTCAATAGTCAATGTGAACAACTTTCATTCATCATTTTATATAATGTTTGATCGGTGATACTAGCAAAAGTTTTAAAGGCAAAAATGTGTTTTGCATTTTACAAATAATTAATACATTTGCTGAACATGGCGAAACGTTTGCATAATTGCAAAGGACAAGGCAACAATACCCCGAAACTCAAACTGATATATTATTGTTCTGGTATTACGTTTTAAAATGTTATCCAGTTGGTTAGTTTTTCACATTTTATAGGGTTGTTCGGAAAGTCATTTCGTTTTTTCCCGACAGAGGATTTAATTGTATTCTTTTGCACCCAACTTCACATTTAAGCCGTATAATTTTTATATGCTTTGAGAGCTCATATAGCAAGGCTTGTGTGTGAAAAATTCCAATT